GGGCAGGGTGTTCAGAGGGCATGAGGAAGAGAAACGCTACTTTTCATGGCAAAGAGGGGTGAGAACGCATAATATTGGGAAATACAGAAGGTAGAGAACTACTGGTGAGCTAGACCAAATACTGCTGGAAAACAGCAACCAAGAATGCTCTCTTCGCTACTGCTTTACTCAAGCTGAAGAGTGTTTTGATAAAGAGCATTGGTATATAAGGTGAACAAACCATTTTACATGTTATGAGATATAAATCACCTCTGCTTTCCCTTTGTGAAACCATACTTTAATTTTGTACTTTTCAGCAAATTTCTATGTGATTGGCTGGTTAGTGAGGTCAACCAACCCAAAAAGGTGGATAAGGAATGTGTGTAAGGCATTTGGGATAAAAGCTTGATACATAACAAGGCCCAAATGTTTCTTGCTTTTTTTGTTCATTTGTTTGAAAATGTCTTTAAATTGAAAAGCAACAATTGCATGTGTTCATACCAACATTTTTTCTTTCTTTCTTTTTGAATTTTTATTCATTTTAATGAGAAAAAAGATAACATAGCAACGAAACAGTTTCAAAAGAGGTTAGTAAGACAGTTGTAATGATTAATACATTGCATATTGTTATCTTCATAGTAGTTATTCAGAGGACAAGAAGCAGACATGATATCTGGTCTAACCAATATTAGCACAAACCTTTCTTCTCATTGAACTAAGAGAAAGCACCTATATATCTATCTTAACTAATATATATATTCCCTACAAAACTGTCCTATATTTATATCCCCTTTTCGTTTTGTTTTGCAGGGGTGGGTGTTCCATTGTTCTCACTGCTGTTAGAGTAGCTGTATTTGGAAAAGACTTTAAAGGACCTTTGCATACTTGACGCCAGTCCAAATACCGCAGGTGCTTGAATTCAGCAAAATAACCCAATATGGTCCAATAGTCCATAATAGTAGTGAGTTGTCAGCACAACTGGCAATTGTCCAAAGTTGTTGACTTGAGCCTTTTACAGCTCAGCATGTTAATATGGCTTTACTTTTATACCTTGTGGTTATACTTTTCTGCTGGATGTTAAGACATGCCAATATTCTTAACATTACAATTGTGAATTAATTAAATCTTAAAAATGGAGTAAAAGCAAACTATGCCTCCTTTCCTATTGAATAATTGTACAACTGACAGTAAACTAATTCTTTAATCTTCATAATTTTAAATATGGCTGATCTCAGTTTGAAATAGGAATACAGAGAAAAAAACTCATGGGCTAGTGAAGCTGCCTTTTCCTTTGTCAGAGTTACTTTCCAAAAATTAATGAAATCTATTGAAAAGTTTCTGGGATTATGATAGTTGGTACAGTAGTGAGAAAAATGGTAGTTATGAAGGCATTTATTATTATATTCAGCTATGAGAATAAAGTGTATGGACCTGCAGTGTGTTCGACTTTGAAACCTGATACTAGCTCTGATTCTCCTTAGGTTAAATCAAATGGAGCTCGGTTTGTTTCTGCTAAGGTTGACACAAGTTGTACTGTGGCTAGGGGTCAGGTAGGTGGGATTAGTCAAATTTGGGGGGGTGGTTATGAAAGCTGGGACTGTGAATGGCCCATTCAGAAGAAGGATGGAGAGGAGAGTAACGGCGAGGATGGCTTCGTATGAAATAGTTTGGGTTACTGCTCATAATGCTCCGAATAGTGTATATTTAGAATTAGGTGCTCATCTGGATCATAGGATAGAATATATACATCAGGGCTTGAGGTGGCAAGAATCAATAAAGCCCCTAAGTTTGTATTAATAAGAGGGTATGCTATTGGAATGGGAATACACAAGGACAGTGCGAGTGTTAGGGCAAGTGGTGGGGCAATAGCAAATAATAGGATTGATTATGTTCAGGGGCATAATGGTGCTTTAATAAATAATGTGAATGCATCTGCTGTTGGACGTAAAATTTCATAGGGTCCTACGAGTTTGGGTCTTTTGTGTAATTGTATGCATCTGAAGTTTTCCTTTTATTAGGGTTAGAAATGCTATGTCTAAGAAGATTGGGATAATTAGAAGAAAATTAATTACATACATAAGTGTTAAGGAGAGGAGTCAAACATCTGGGAGTAAAGTTTCAAGTTCTATGCAATTACAGGGCTCTGCCACCTTAACATGAACTAGAATGTGTGAGTAGAATGCAAAGCTTGAGCCCATCCTACTTATAACAATATATTTCTTGCATTTTAAAAGCAGTGGTCCTCTCACCTCAGGCAATGATTCTACCTTCACACTGGTTGAGGACATCCCAGGAGATAATGTATCGCGAGAGTCTAGACCCATGACAGAGAACATGGGAATGTTAGTTTCCTTCACTTAATCTCCCCTGCTCAAATGGATAATGTAGCCAATTGTTTCTCATTTCCATAAACAATGCTAAAAAAGAATGTGCACTTAAGTTGTTATGTAAATAAAGTTAGAATTTTTTTTAAGTTGGGTACTTGTGGTCACTGGAAAGATTAAACAAGTGAGAAGATGGGTTCTGGATAATTTAAAAAAAAAAAAAAAGTTCTTAGGGGCCAGGGAGATGGCTCAATAGGATAAGCGCTTGACAGGCAAATGCAAGGATCTGAGTTCAATCCCCGGTTCCGCCAAAATAAATAAATAAATAAAAAATAAATAAATAAAAGTTCTTGTTATACACCTTTAAAACTGAAAACTGTGCATTAGAAAACTGCATTTGGAAACTTCAAAATGGATCGTTATCACTTAAATTATGGGCACTGCTGCATCAAGAGCTCTGAATAGGCCAGCGGGCTCTTTTTGAAGGAGGAGTATGTGATTCCTTTAAAGATGTCCACGATAAAGACAGTCATGAGCAAACAATTCCTACACCTAAAAAAATTACACAAAAGTTAAACAAAATCTCAAAGGTAACTATTATGCAATGCTTTGGCTATGGATTTTTGTCATAAATTGACACTCATTTTATGCACATGAATATAAAATTTTCCTTCCAATTACCTAATTATCTAACAAATTATCCGATTTTCCAAAACATACTAAAACCATTGTACATGCTAAAGGATTCAGCTCTGTAACTGTGAATCAGAAATCTGTCATATTTTTATGCTGCTGCATTTAAATCTAAGATTCTTGTGTAAGTAATATATGATAACTTTTCCCTCAAGTACTCATTTAATAATGACATTGTTTGGCAAAATGATTCATGTTCATTTTCAACCCTTAAAAGTGTGGTACATTTCCTCTCAGCCTTTTACTTAAGCATGTAGGACAGTACTGAATGAGTGCCTTTAGTTTCTTTTTCCTATTAGACCATAATTTGGAGGGGGCAGAAATTGTGTGCTGTGTGTTCATTCTAAATTCCTGGACTGTACGTGAAGTATGATAGGGGCTGAATGAAGGTTATGGAATGATTAAATGGTGAGCGACACTGTATTAGATCCTTTCCTGAGCTAGTATTTAGAAGAATTTGAAAATCAAGGACTTAAAATTCAGGGTAGTCAAAAACTGAATTATTGAGAGAGAAAATCTAGTAGAGACCATTTTCACCCCACATAGATAGGTGCACCTTGGTATCTTAACTGTCTGGCTATCAACTCCCCCGTTCACAAAATAACAGAAATAAAATAAAGTCAGATATCTGGAGAGTTCGGCTGGCTCAGCCTAGTGACCTTTTACAAGTACAAGTTATTGTTATAGTGAAAGAAAAACACTGAATCCCTCCAGTATAATCTGACTCCACAGACTTAAATAGAGTTGTCCATTTTTAAAAGGTGCTTTACATATTCCGTCTTTCTAGACTCTGAAACAAATTTCCATTTCCCAAAATCCCTGATGCTGATTTTAATGATTTTGTCCACGTGACAAACATTTTTTGTTTCATTGCTATTAGTGAATGACAAGTGAAGGATATTCGTTTCAAATTGAAAATGTCAGGTATGCACTTCAAGAGCTATATTTTTTGCAGCTCTTAATGAGGCGGTGTTTCTTTCTGAAAGAAGCGCTCATCTCTGTGCGGATGCTGTGCGGGTGACAACTGATATTTAATAAGCGATGGTTCTAGTATTAGTCGCAGTTCACCAAAGAAAATGTCTCATATTGCTTTTGAAAAACTCTTAGCATCACTAGCCTAAAGGCAAGATGTGACCTTTTTATTACATAATGAGAATCATTTATTATCTTACAATGTATCTTAAAGTCACAGACAAAATGCCACTTTGATAATTGCTTTCAATTAGCTTTGAGCATAGCATATATTCATAAAATGTCTTCTCTAATTTAGAGATGAATTAGAGAAAATTGCAGACATAATCTACTTTAAGGTTGTCTCATTTAAGGTGATTCGTAGTTTTATATCAAAGAAATCAAAACGAGTAGCTTCAACACAGTCTCTCCAAGTGTTTTAAGGAGGCTTTTCAATATTTGATTGTATTCTATTACCAATTAATTAACAAATTAGAAAGCTAGTTCATCATTTATGACCTTTTAAGCGTGTTAACTTCTGACTTGCACTCTTGATGATTGTTTTAAAATTAAGCCTTGCAGTTCGTGTGGAAAGAGAGAAACAATCTGATTATCAAGATTAAAAAAGGCTTGCCTGATACTACGCACACCTTAATGTTGGGCCATAACCGGAACCTTAAACCCTGTAATGCACACCTTGTCCTGCTTTCAATAAATAAAACATAACTAATAATCAAGAAATTAGACTGGCTAATGATGTAGCCTAAATAGTTTGGAGATCCTATAGCACTGCAAGGGAAGCTAGAGATAACAAGATATTTAAAACATGACTTCAACTCAATTGTATTTTTGTTAAGATCCTTAGCACTTGAATACTATTTATATGCTTAGCTTTATCTTTCTGAGAAAGGTTTTTAAAATAGTGAAACTCTGAAACTGTATCATATTCATGTGTTCTTCAGTAACTCACAAAATATTACTACTCCTAACAAAGATCCTCAGAAACTGCTTTAGAGCTGGAGATCATTCTTTCTCTCTTTGCCTTTCTCCTAGATAAAAATTACGCACAAGAACCAAGCGCCGATGCTGATGGGCCCTCCTCCGAAAACTGGGTTATTCTGCTCCCTGGTCAAAAGAACAAGAACCCGAAGCAAAGAATAACCCTCCTCGTTGTGTTCTTAGAAATCTGATTAGCGTAATTGGGCCATAGAACACTTGTGCTGGAAATCTTGGAACCATTTTAAGCCTCTTGCTCATGTAAAGTCATGGAATTGGTTTAACAGTTTTTGTTACTGAGCTAATGCAAAACTCAGCTATTAGAAAACATATTGTCTCAGTTTTTATAGGCAGTTTGCATGAAGAAAGCAAAAGTTTACATGAAGTGATATTGCATATTTTTGTTGCATGCATTCCCATAGATTTTTATGTCTCCCACTCACACCATACCCAGTACCCATTTACCAAACTGAACCTGTGAAGCCTGAAACAGGAAGTGCCACAGGAAGCGTAAGTCTCAGTGTGATTCCAATTATCAATAAGCACTAATCAGTAAGGCTGCAGCGATCGTGATTGCAGACGGCTGTACTCTTCCCTTTTAGATCTCGTGACTCAACAATCCTTGATCTTTGTTTCAGGGATAAACTTTTAACTCAAAGATTTTATTAAGTAGTTGTCTATGACACATTGCATAAATAGTTTTTCTCCAACCTCTAGATTCTTCTGAGGAGAAATTTAAATGCCAGGTAGAAGACTGTTTTGTGCTGAAACCCAGAAAATGGTCTTTATTTTGTTGAGGCTGATTTTTAATTCCTCAAAAAAGAGAGTGAGAATATGTTCCTTGGCAGTAAAGTGTGGTACAAGATAAGCCTTATTTCTATCTGCAGGAGAATCTAGAAGAAAACACACATCACACAATTAACCAAATAGATGTTTTAAGCTATGTGCCTACTTAATGTGTTTCCCACCAAAGATTCAGAAAAAGATGCTGGAGAGAAATGGGTTAATGTATAATTAATTAGCATTGTGGAGAGGTTTTGTGGATTTCATGATTATTTCATTGTACGACAACTAAAATGCTGGAAGACGTTCACCTATTTTTTATGATTCTCACCTTTCACAGACAATGGTTCATACAGTACAATCCAAGTTCAATAGCTGATTTCTCGGTTATTTGGTCCTCCATAAGTTGACGTGGCTATAATTTTTAATGTATCAGTTCACGGTACTTAGGAAAGTAAATGGTTGTATCAGTTTTCTTCTAATACAAATTGCTACTAGCAGTAATTTGGAGTTTCTTAGGGAAATCATGCATGAAATTGCCCGACCACTCAGCTACTCCACTCCCATCTCTAGGACATTTTGAACATTTATTTGAAAACATGGGCGGAATGGAGTAGATGACTGCTTAAAGTGTTTATGGCATGGTTGGAATCTCTGATCATATAAAGAAACCATGGAATTGCTATTTCTCCTAATGTATCATCAAGCCTGTGTATAAAATGAAATGCTTCTGAGAAGTGTTGGTTCTGTTTGTTCATATTTACCTGCATCTTATCATTGCATGTTTTATGTTTTCAAACATGCCATCAGGAAAACAAGTGCTTGAAATGCATGATTTATTAGTTTTTCTCTCCACTCTGCATTAAAGTGCCAATGATTTATCAGTTCTATTTTTCTATTGATTCATTCATCTTTGAATAACAAATAGCATTTAGTGTTTCTGTTGAATGCAATTTTGTGCATGGATTTATGGATTTCAAGTGAAATTGCTATAATTTTAGTTCCTTGGTTTGAAAACTCAACTGAATGCTGTTATATAAAATAGCTACTCTCAAGCAATGTTCCGTAATAGAAGATCATGTATAAAGCATATTCTTTCAGTGTTCCAGGAATATTGGATGGTAAATATCAATCAACAATAAGTTTAATTGCTTTAAAAATGAAAGCTTTTGAATAATATTAAGCATACATAATTTAGCATACCCAGGAGATTATGATTACAATTGCAAATTTAATACAGCAATCACTTGGTGTAGTATAGTAACAATAAATAAAAAGTTGTTATTTGGCAGAACTCTAATCTACACCAAAAGAACTCACAAAACAGTAACAAGTGCATTACTGACATAACATTACATAACAGACATTGACTTTGTGTATCTATGGTTACAAGTGATAAATGTTTTCACATGAATTGACAAAACCTTCCACACCAGGCAGGCACGCTTTGTGTCAAAAACGTATTTTGCAGCCACCAATTATTTTGCATTCAATACAACCTACAATTACTTCTTGGCTACCGTTAACAATACGTAGTTTGAAGGCAGGCAGTTTGTGAATCATTTTAACAGTCTGTGTACCGGAAAGCACGTGGACAGAAGGTGAGACAAAAAAAAATTAACCAAACCGCCTGCACCATTTCAATAATGAGATGAGTAGTTATGCAGCCTCACTTCCTTGTGGCTGTGCGACTATAATTAAGGTTAATAGTAGATGCTCACATTCTCAATCATGTGCATTCATTGGTACCACTAATAAATGTTCAAATGTGAAGCAAATTTGACTTTTCCCAGCTCATTTTCTAAAGATACTGACACACTTGCCCTTCAAGTGTACTACTCCTGGGGTTTGGAAAGTAGTTCTTAAAAAGCTACTTTGATGGTTTTGAAATCATAGAAGATATTCTTTCCTTTTTTATGACAGTTTCATGCGAAGAATATATATTTTAAGGAAATTTCTAAATGGAAAGTTCTATGGCATATTAAAATACTGAATAATGAATGTTAGCTTTATAAAATGGAAACTTTTCTTGTATGTGTGTAGGTGAGTGTTTAAGTTGTAAAAGTGACCTCTTTTAAATATGCTAGACATAGTGATATAAAGTTTTAAGTGGATGAAGCCCTTAAGCATAAATTAACACTGGACCAACTTAGGGGGTCGGAGAAAAGGGGCAAAAAGCTTCGCACTCTGCTAAACACTGCCATGTCCTGCTTGTGCGTAGAAGTTCTGTGAAAATAATCCTAGATCCCCACACTGTTAAGACATAGGAATGGAGATCCCTATATAAACCCCCAGATTTTAAAATCATAACTGTTTTTCCCACTTTGATGTCTATATAACGCATATTTAATGTAAGAAGTGCCAGTTAATGTTCTGTGGTAGAAAGAAATACCTTGCAAGAAATGGAAAGGTAACATTGTAAAACAGTTTTTATTTTTGAACAAATTATATTGTGATAGCAGAATCAAACAGAACACTCGGCTGTTGCCGCAGTGTGCTACGGGAAGAAGTGAAGACCGTGAGAACTAATAAAACACATATATGTTTCCACATTTTGTTCTGCTTTCCTTTTTCGAGGGATGGGGAGAAAGTATAAAAATAAGATGTTTGGAATCTGAAATTGTGTGCTGCTTAAAGGAGGCAAGAATTTTAGGTTGTTCCTTTTCGTGTTTGTGTTCATCTTTTTACTGTTAATCATATAATGGAAACGAACTTTTTGTAGCACATGACCCCAAAGAATTGTTGAATATATACCTTACATTTTACATTAAAAGGTATAGCCCTTGTAACAAATGTACAGCCTCAGCTAGAAATTTAAGAAGAGACATTAATAAAAACCTGCACAAGAACTTTTACTAGGGGAAGGCAGACATCACCCCTTAAAACATTCACTTAAATTTTATTCTGTTTAAAGTTGGTGGAAACTCACATTCGAAAGTTTCTATATATTATTATTGCATTTAACTCATAGGGTTCATTTAATTACAGTATCCTAATCTTTTTAAGATATATGCAGTATCCTGCTTTTTGAAATAAAAGTGTTAACTACTCAATATTGTATAATTTTTTATTGCTCTTGGGGCCAGGATACCTCTGGAATGAACTGCTCTGCGGATCAATAGTTAGCTTACTTCAACGAATACCCACTGGGGATTCTGGGCCAATCATTCCATTCTGAATCATTGCTACCAGAAACATTCAACCTTTAGTATCGTGTGTCCTCAGTTGCTGCTGCAAACATTAATATGACAATGTCATAGACTGCAAGATAACCAGCCAATTAGATAATGGAGATGTGGGGAATTGAGTCCAATTCTTGGAATGAAATTGATGTCTAATTTTAATTTATGCAACCATCTTTCACAAATATCTCTTGTGCCCCAAGTAAAATATATTTTTCAAAGGTATGCATCAATTAAAAAAAGAACTTTAAAGGACATAATCTCTTCTACTTTATATTTACTCAAAGAGGTAAATGTGTCATTTAATGTATCCCATGACTGGAAAAGGTAAAATGTGTGACATATTCAAAGGAGGAAAGGATGATTTTGGGGGAACAAGTCAAGAGGCATCTAGAAAAGAAGTAAATCTGCCAACAGCTTTTGAAAAGTTTAGAATTTTAGATGGTGAAAGAGGTGTAGATAGGGAAATTCAGATATTAATGTGAGAGTCCAGGGAACTCAGGTCCCGGACACATCCCTGATGTACCTCATGCAGTCCTTGGGGCTTTGTAACAGGAGCTGTTGGACTGTGCTTCCACCATAAGTTAGTAGAAAAACAAGCAGCATGAGAAAAGGGAGAGAAAAAGAGCGGGAAGTAGGGAAACTGGTAAGTAAGGATCAAAAGAGAAGAAAATGAAGCCAAGTCACCAAATTAGGATTATTGGAAGTAAAAATTAATTCCACACATGAAATTGATAAACATAAATTAATAATACCTCAGTATTCTGATTTATAAAGCTTCAAGTCAGGATCTGTATTCCCAGGAAGTCAGTTATTTGATCTTTTAACAGCAGGGCCAAAAACACATGCTATAGGAAAGACATCTTATTAAGTGGAACTGGGAAAATTAATGTTCATATGCAAAAGCCTGAGTCTAGACCCATATTGTGCACCATTATGGGTTGTGTCTCCTTGTTCCCCCAAAGTCTCATGCAGTCATGGGGTGGACTTCTACAGTTTGTGATTCATTCATGATCCAGGGCTGGGATTGTAAGTGCTGCTGGGATTATGGGTATAAATGCTGGGATTATGGGTATAAAGCTTTATGTGTGTGTGTGACACTGCCCCGTGGCAGATAAGCTGAAAACCATAGGAGGAAGGGAGAGAAGTTCACTAGCTGCCTCCACCAATTCTCTTCCCTTTCCCTTTGCTTTTTGCTGTTTTTCTGCCACCATGAATGGTTGCCCTCTGTCATGTTCCACTCTGCCTTAGAACCAGCCAAGTATGGACTGAAACTTCTACAAATTATGAGCTAAATAAATCTCTCCTTCCTAAATTTTGTGTGTCTGATATTTTGTCTCAGCAACAAGACAAAAGTAACTGAGACACTGACCATGTACTAAATTAAAATCAAAATGTATCAGAGATCTAAAGGTTGAGTCAGAACCACTGAATCTGTTGGAAGATAAAATAAATAGATTCTTGGGCCAGTGAGATAGCTCAGCAGACTAAGTACCTGCTTTGGCAAGCTCAGGGACCACAGTTCAATTCTCAGCCCCTCATGCTGCTCCAGCCCCACCCCCAAGGTGTGCTGAGCCTGTGGCCGACTCTGGATGTGGTGGCGCATGCCTGTGGTTGCAGTGTGGGGAGCCTTAAAACAGGAGGATCAGTACCAGCCCAAGCTGCATAGTGAGACCCTGTACAAAATATATAAAAATAAAAAACTAGTAAATGAATAAATAAAGTTCTTGAAGACATAGGTGCAGGCAAGGACTTCTTTCTGGGTAGAACTCCAA